ACAACCAGTCCACCTGGATGAGCAGGGGCGCGGCCACGAGGTAGGGCACATTCTTGGTGGCCAGGATGGAGCGCGCCACCTCCGCCTGGCGCCCGCCCTCCATGGTCCCCGCCGGCCCGCCCACCAGTGGGAACCCCACCGTGTTGACGATGGCGTCCACGGCCACCGCGTCACGCGCCAGAGTGGGGCTGGCTGCGCCGCGCCCGTGCGCCGCCACCAGCGCGGCCTCGTGCGCCGAGGTAAGGGCGTCGCGCACGATGACGTGGGCCTCCACCCCGTTGATGAAGATGGGGAGGGGCAGCAGGCCCCCCGCCTCCAGGGCCGTCACCAGGTCCCAGAGGTAGGGCTGGCGCGTGACGACGTGCTTGCGGTACAGCAGCACCGCCACCACCGGGGCGGCGGCCGCACCGGGGTGCGTGCGGCGGTACCACGCCATGTACCGCGCCGCGTCCGGGAACATGCCGCCTTCGGGGTGGATGCAGCCGGTGGGGGGGGTCGTCGGAGGGGGGCGGGGGGGGCGTGGCGGCCACCCCGCCGCTCGTGGCGAAGCAGGCCTGCGCCAGGAAGGAGAACATGGACACCACGTTGCCCTCCCCGCCCTGGTTCCAGTAGGAGTAGGTGGTCAGCCAGGTGCGCAGGTCCCGCGCTTTCTTCCCTGAGATGGTGTTTGCGTGTGGAGGGGAGGATGGCTGGTGTGGTACGGCATGATGGAGTGGGGAGTGCCAGGATCTCTTGGCCCGATTGGGCTTCCTGGCTCTGGCCATGCTTGTGACAGACTGCTGGTGGCACAACGTGCAGTACCAAGTGCATGCAATGCTATGCTTCTCCTTCTTAAGGGTTGCACCCTAGCGTCTGGAAGCACTCCCCTGGACCCCTTCCTTGACCCCCCTCTTGCCTGGTAGGAACTTGAGGAGCTTGGGCCCGATTTTCAGGAAACTCAGGTACCCCACCAACTTGTCCTCCTCCCGCTTGCTCCCAAAGAGTTTGAGGACCTTTTGGACGGCAGGGGGGGGTCCCTTGGACTTGGACTCGCCCCCCATCTGCAGAAGGAATGGGAGTACCCCGGGTGTGGGGGTTCCAGAGCACAGACCATGTCATTCATTACTTGGAGGTGACAGGTGCTCACATACAACGCGCGGCATGCATGAACCCGTTCAAACCAGGACTCCAGTCCGAGAGTGTTCACAGACTTGCCGTGAAGCTGCCCACTTGGGTGCTGGACATGAGCTCCAGGGCAGACTCAAAGACCAGTCTAATGGGGATGTGCTCAATGCGTGCCTTCAGCCACTCCACCTGGGCACAGTCGGGTGGGAATGAGTTCAAGATGAGGCCAGGTGGCGCGTGGCCATCCAGATGCCAGCTGTGAGGGTGGGTAGGTGTGTTCAGGCAGCGTCAAGAACCCCTACCATCCAGGAATGTCAAGCCCACCTGGTCAAAGTCAAAGAGCAGGGACCCAAAGAAGACGTCCGCTTCCTTCAGGGCGGCAGCGAGCTCGGCCTTCCCAGCATCTGCTGGGTAGTCGCGCTGCTATTAGGCAGTCTCACAGGCTTCTACTTCAAGCTCAAGCAGTCTGAAGTGAGTCCCTGGCCTCAAGTACGCCCGCACTTCTCCACTACCCCTCCATCTCGACTATGCGCCTCCCTCACACATGCCCACACACAGCTCTGCCCGGCCACTCACCCAGATCGCGGTCGCTAAAGACCGACAGCTGAACTGGCGGTTGGAGGTGAAGCAGACGCTCCCCCGCCGCGCGATACAGGGCGGCGTTGAATGATTCGAAGCCGACGACCAGCACCGCACGCACCGCGCCGGAGGGTGGCATGGGACGGGCTTCCCGGTTGAGCGAGTCGTCCTGCCGACCCCGGTCCTCCAGCTGGGCCTGGGCCTCCGCCAGCTCCTCCCCGACCCTGCCCCGCTGCAGCCGCAAGGAACCAACCCGGGCCTGGAAGGTCGTCCATGCCTGGGGCCCCAAAGATGCCTTTGCCCTGTCCAGCAGCGCTTGCTTGTACTAGAAGGATAGGGGGATTCAGGCCTGCTGAGAGCAGCACAAATTATGCGGCCGACAGGGGTACCTGGAGCACTCCTGCATTCTTTCCAGCATGCCTTGAAAGGCGCATGTCAGTCCTCATCCCATCACCAGCTCATGCAAACAGCAGGTCGACTAAACTGCACCTCTGGGTGTGTGTGGCAAAAGTCGAGAAGCTCTTGCTCACTGGTCGGGGTCTGGAAGTCGGTCGTGACACCGCCCGCCGTCCCTTCCTGACTGCTGCTTTCCCCCAGTCCTGGATCAAACTCCATCGAGACTCCAGCAAAGGTCTCACGGTAATGCTTGTCCAGATGTGCCTGGATATTCTCCATCTGTAAACGGACATGGATGCGGAAATGCTCTGGAAATCAGCTACCCCCCATACAAGCTACAATACCGATGAGAGGCGCATAACGCACATTCATGCTGCACATCAGAGGTGCTTGGAAATATGGCCCACCTGGGAGTTCAAGGATGCTACTTGGGCCTCTAATGTAGACCGAGTGCTGGGAAGAACATCTTCGCCCTCGGTCATCTGGTCAACCTCCTGTGCGAACCTCTCCGCCTCCGACATCATCCCGCTGGGGGTGGTTGGTGGCGGTCCTTGAGCAGCAGATGTGCCCTGAACACCTTGGCGCCGTCTGGGGCTCGTACAGCGCCCACGCAGCAATGCATGGAATCCGATTCCCTGCCTTGGACCCTGCACTCCCCAGCCATGTCGGCGAGGGCAGGCATGGGAGGTGCCATGGACCGCAGACGCATTTCTCATCGCAGGCTGCATGCTGTGCCTCAAGGGTTTCAATGCATTACGATGTATATCAAGAGAACATATTCAATGTTTCAATTATCGCTGCGGCCCGATACATGAGCCGCAGCGCATGGGCTCGTTGCCCATGCGCACAGATCTGTGGCTTGTACAGCATGAGCAAAGCAGGCACACCGAACGAAAGATTCCTCGGATAGCCGCTTACTCGCGCGCATTTCGGACAGTGCATTGAAGGCAGATGATATATGAGTATTCCCGGAACTCTCAAGTAATGTCCCAAGCCTGAGAAATTTTGCAGTACAGCAGGTCGGGCAAACAGGGGCTACCTGCGACAGGATGGCAGCGGTGTATGCCGGTGGGCGACCCTATGCATGGCTTCTCCTGGCCGCGTACTGGGCCGTGGGAGCTGCAGCTGGGTCCCTAGGATACTGGAAGCTGCTCCAGGAAACCGCCCTAACGCTGCCCGCGCTGCATGTCTCCTCGGGGGGGTATGCGGTCGTCTTCGCCGTCGGGGCCATTGCCTTCCTTCGCATCCCCCTCTACCTGGGAGCTTTCCGCATGGGACGCCCCCTCAGCTCCCTGTCTCTCATCCTGTTTCCCCTAGCCAATGCCGTTCTGGAAGGCTTCTCCCTCCTCTTCATGTTTGATGCCGGCAGGTAGGCGCCGGTGGCTACCTGGGTGTGCATGGCTGATGGGGCATGCTCGGGTGCACCATCCCCATTCTCAGTGCGCAGCGAAAGCTTTGGTGCTCGAGCTCTGTGCCAAGGTTTCAGCTTGTGAGATGTTATTCCTGCTCGGAATTCATGCAGGTGGATCCTGTCTGAGGAAAGTTGGCAAGTGAAGCCTGGGACGGTAGGGTTTGCGGCGCTCACAGAGCTCCCATCCGAGGACCGGCGGGTGTGGCGCGAGTTTCTGTTTGGATTTGCCCCATACACCGTCGGCTACGTTGGTGAGTGGGCTTGTGCACTTCAACGCCACATGGTGATGAAGAGAGCCATGCTCGCCAAGCGACACGTTTGGGGCCGTGCTGTCGGTCTGATGGTGCCCCGCTGGCATCAGACCCTCATCCACCCTCCTCCTTTCTTTCTTACTCGCATGACAGCAATGTACGCCTGCGTGTGGGAGGAGCACATCCTGCCAGCTCACCTCGACCTGGAAACCCCGAACAAGTTTGTACGGGCGATGGTGGTGAGCTGCTGACAGGGGGCTGTGGGGGCTGAGGACGCTGGGTTTTGCTCCGTGCAGATTGCGGCCAACTGGTGTCCAGGGGCAAAGGAGAGTTGCCTGCTTCATTTGCGGGTGCCAGCTTGGCCCGCCCTTCCATGGCCATTAGCTTCAAGTCATCACCGATGCACGCCCACACCCCAACTGCAGATGGTCAACATGGCGCTCATTGCCGTGTACTGGCTGTACGCCGATGTGGCAACCTACACGCTCCTGCGGCTGCTCAACGAGACCCTGCTCGTGCTCTGCGTGAGGCTGCCTCCCCCAGGGGCCAAGTTGGCCCCTGCCATCCACCCCAGTGACCTTCAAGCGGCCCCTACAGGCGGGCCAAGCACACCGCAAAGGCGTGAGAAGAAGAAGAACTGATGCGTTGGGGCTTGTCGGCCACTCGCCTTCCCCTTGAAACCAATTGACGTAAGCAAGTGTATGTAATTGTCACAGACAAACACCCTGCATCATCAACGCCTGCCATATGTGTGAGGTCAGGAAGCATAAGAGGCACGGCAGCACGTATAACTGCCTGCTTGATCGCACAGATGCTTCCGGTATGAGGTGAGGAGTCATGTGCGTGATGCAACATGTCAGCAAGTGTCAGCTATGTTCTGCTGCAGAGGCCATTCAAATGGAATACTGGTTCGCAACCGCGCCGCCCAGTCCATCCCCAAGCATGGGGCATGCCGCGCCATGGGCAGCACTTGGACCCCTGTGCTGGACGTCCCTCTGGTTATCACGGGGGACAGGCAAAACTCAGTCCACTACCCTGGCTCGCTTGACTCTCCGCGCGCCCTCTCCCTCCGACTCCCCGGCCTCAAACAAGGGTTTCAGCAGCCGGGGCTTGAGCTCCCACCACAGGCCCATGCTGGCGCGCATGGTCGGGCTCTGCATGGCGGCAGCGGCCCGTGACGCGCCGGTCTGCCTTGCCTCTGGAGTCGCCGAGGCCAGGACCTTCAGCAAGGTGGCAACCCATGTGGCGGGCTTGGGCTTGCCCGAGTAGTAGAGGCACAGGCCATCCAGGAAGCGGAGCAGGTGCTCGACAGCCAAGGGCGTCAGCAGGGCCGACGCATCGATATGCAGGATAGCCGCATCGGCGGCGGACTTGACGGTGCGCAGCAGCTCGTCAATGTCCTTGTAGAGCTGGTCGTCTGACACGGAGGGGAGAGTGGATAGGGCCTTGCACGCATGTTAAACCGTGCTGCGCCCCTCGTACCCACGGTCAGGTCTGCCGGTGGCCAGGACACACCATCTTGAATGGCACCATGCCCCTCCTTCCACATGACTTTCCAGAATGCGCCCACCACCTCAGGCTGACCTGTGGGCGCATGGCGGTACTTGGCCAGCACCCGCCCCCCCGCAGCCAGGGCGCACAGCCCCAGCTGGAAGTGCGACGGCACGTTTTCTTGCAGCGCACTGCCGTCAGCGCCCGCCATGGCTTCCACGTAGCCCAGGCTGGCCTCTGCATAGCAGCTGAAGGGGTACCAATTCCAGCTGGCATCTCCTGCTTCCAGGATCCAGTCACTTGCTTGCAGCTCCGCGCTCTGATCAGCCACGCGCATCTTACCAAGCCCAGAACTGGGAGGGGCCCCGGCACAGGCATAGATGGCACCTTCCAAGCTCGATTGGGCCATAGCAATCTCCCGCTCGAACTGGGCGCAGAAAGCGGCCACGCCCTGGCCCCGCTCGAGCGCCTTCTCAAGTGCGCTGTCCAGCCTCTCCTGTGTGTGAGGAGGGGGATGCAATGGTTGGATTGTTCCCTCAGCGCGGTCGCGGCATGCATTCCGCCCGCGACAGCTCACAAAGCTCTCGATCCAATGTTGTCCCTCCTGCGGTGACAAGGTGCCACGGCCAGCGCCAAGCCTGCCCACAGGCCTGAGGAGCGGCTGGCGCCACCTCCAACTCCCCATGCCAACCCCCGTTCATCCATGCCTGCTGAACGGCTGCCAGGGCACACACGGCCGCGGGGTACATTGCTGCCTCGGCCGCCTGCAGCTGGCGCAGCAGGAGGAGCTGCAGGCCCGCCAGCTGCCCGCTCACCTTCTTCGCCCGCCCGTTCACAACCGTGGGGTCCACGGAGACGACCAGCGAAGCGATGACCTGGCGCTGCGTCAGCGTGTGGGCCCGGCCCCCGGCGTACAGCCAGCCGCTCCAAGCCTCGGCGCCGGGCGCCAGGCCACGTAGCGCGGCGTTGCTAGTTGTGAGCTCCACCGCGGCGTCCCGCCGGCCGCTGCCGTCCAGTGACAGCCAGCAGTGATCCTCGGACACCTGGCGGGCGAGGGTGGCGGGTGGTTCCTTGCGCACAGTCCGCATTCCAGCGCCGAGTGGGTGATGAGGCAGGGGCTGCCGTTGAGCGCTGGACCCTGCAGACCACCTCGGGCTCAGTGCATGGCAGAGTGGACCACCCTCCAGGCCCACCTGGACCCTGACGCCGCACAGGTCGGCATGGCCGTGGCGGGCGGCCAGGACCTCGCACGCGGCATACACGGTGATCACCACCCCCGCGCAGTCCAGCTGACGCTTGGCTGCGGACTTTACTCCTCCGGAAGAAGTCAAGAGCGCCACGAAGCTGTGAAGATGCTGCGTGAGGGGGTGAGTGGGTGACGATCTCCAGCCTGATGTGGAGACTCGGGAGGAATGAAGAGAGAGGCAGACTCAAACCGGTTCCTAGGAACACCCCATGCTGGGTGTCGACAGACTCACGGTGGATTGATAGCCCAGGCAATAACCCTCGGCCCCTAACACCACCTGGGCATGCAGGACGTCCTTGCTGTAGCTCCCAGCCGCCAGCATGGTCCACACGGCGGCAGCAGCAGCCTGCACCTTCTCCCGCGGAGTTTGTGTGCTCTCCAGCCTGGGCAACAGCACATCGCTCACCCAGGCCTGAAAGATTTTGGCCCTGGTAGCCACCAGGGCAGGCAGATCGCTGGCAGTCAACAGGGCACCGTCTGTAGCTGTGAACGCCGCCTCCACCGCACCCAGTGCAAGCGATACACGCAGCGGGCTGTGTGCATCTGCCTGCAGCTCTTCTGCAATCCAGTCTCGCAGGAGGAGAGCGTATTGTGGGCCCTCCTCGGCCGGATTAAGAATGTAGGGTGGGATTTCCAGAGGAGACTGCTCCAGCGTGCCAGCCGGAGGGTTGCCGCTTGGGAGGTCGTGGGAAGTGGAGAGTTCACTGCACATTGTTGTATTAGATTCTAACGGGTCCGGCCTCTGACCATCATCAGCCATTTCAAAAGGTGCCCTATGGCTTGATGAGGGTGCAATGCAATTGATGCTCGCGTCATTCCAGGGGGTGTGTTGCGACACTCCACCACGCCACAAGCTGCATCACGGCACTGCAGCACCCACTTTAAGAAATGGGTTGAATTGACACTTTTTTGTTCCCGAAGCGTCGTATTTGAGTGACGTCCTGCCTGTTGTCTCCCTAAAGTATTCAGCGCGCGCGCCCGGAGACGGATCACCATGCAGCGGGCTGCACTGAGGGGTGTGTCTCAATTCCTCTCACAACTAAAGCCATGACAGAGGTTACCTCGGTGTTCATTATTGTGTTGTGAAGGTTGAGGTGAATAACCATACAAGCTTGAATAGTCTGAGGCTTGTTGTCCTAGATGTGAGTGCATGAGGACAACACTTGCCACACTGACCCTTCCTCTTATATATATCAAGCTACCATAAGGAATCAAGTCATTAAGAACACAAGCATGTCGCCACGATCGTATGTGTGTTGTAGGACTTGTCTTTCTCAGTTGCGTCGAGTCCCGTCGTTGTGGCGCTCCATGACATGCATGACCAGCACAGTCAGAAGATCATCGACATGTTCCTCGAACAGACTTCGGAGACATCGTACTCATGCCATGAGTGACTTAAGCTTTGTTATATCACATCCCTCGTGGCCTATTTATCTTCGGTGAGGCCCTTCTGCGTGGGCCTGTTGGACAGCGCCCGATGGGGAAGCGTGCACGGGAAGGGGACGACGAGGCACCATCGCCAGAAGAAGTCCCTGCAGCAGGAAGTATACCAAATGAACAAGCTCAGACTGGTGAAGGGCCGGCGTCCACACCCGAGGATGAGGCGGATGACCAGCCCCTGCACAAGAACTTTCGAATGAGCAGTGCAGTTCGCACTGGAGCAGACTGCCCCTACTTGGACACCATATCCCGCCAGGTCGGATGAGATTCAGTGCCAGGAAGGTGTTTGGGGGGTAAGTTAACGCCAGGCTCTGCTTTAGGCTGTTTTGCGGAGAATTTACCCTCCGCGGCCCCGCCCCCCCCCCCCCCCGCTCAGAACCTCGATTTTGACTTTGAAAAGTGCTGCTCCGTCTCCCTTAGCCCGGTCAACGTATATGCTTGCCTCGTATGTGGCAAGTACTTCCAGGTGCGTCGTTGCCCAGACGTGATGGGCAGGGCTGTGCGTCCAGGTGCCATGCAAGCGCGACTGTTCTGCCTTTGCCCGCCACTGAGTTCCCTCCCACTACCTCCCGAGCATCTCAGGGCCGTGGGCCAAACACGCATGCCTACACGCACTCCTTGGACGCCGGTCACCACATGTTCATGAAGGTCACGGATGGCAAGGTGCGTCACTTTTGCCCAGCACAGGATAATGGTTTGCATCAGGACAGCGCCAGGAGGACAGGCCTCCTTGCAGTGATTCTCCACACCACAGGCCATCGCCCTCCTCTCAACACCCCTGCACGCTGATCGTCCACCGCAGGTCTACTGCCTGCCAGACATGTACCAGGTGGTCGATCGCTCGCTCGCGGACATCCAGTATGTGCTGTCCCCTACCTTCACGGGTGCGAGTGCACTCAGCTGGTGTGGACGGTCCTGCCGACTGGCTGCTGCATGCCTGTTTGGGATGCTGCTGTTTTTAGGCCGAGGGCCTATAGCATGCCATGCCTTGTATGGACCCTGGACCTATGCATCAGGCTGCCGGCCGCTACGAGATGTGTCCTGTCCTGCAGGAGTTGCCCAAGCCACCACGGGTTCCGTCTGCACCAAGCTTCTCACATCCACGTCGACCCAACCCACTCACTGCTCACAAAATTCTCGCAGATGCTGAGGTGGCAAGGCTGGACACGGCGGTCACCTGGGCACGCGCCCTGGACGGCACCGAGTTCATGCCAGGACTGGTGGGGCTGAATAACATGAAGCGTAACGACTACGCCAATGTGGTCATCCAGACGCTTGTCCGCATCGTGCCCATCAGGTGCTGAGAGGGGTTTGGTTGGTCGCCTCCAAGGTCCCACCTCAACCATTGCTCCCATTCTCCCTCCCACAAGCCTCAGCGGTGAACCCCGCTGCTCTCCCCGCACCTCACACCCTACAGCCACCCCCAACTCACGCCGCAGGGACTATTTCCTGCGCACCCAGAACTACGAGGCCTGCCGCTCGCCGCTGGTCCGGGAGTTTGGGTCGCTGGTGCGCAAAATGTGGATCACACGGGCCTTCAAGGGCCACGTGTCACCCCACGAGTTCATGCAGTCGGTCATTGCCGCCAGCGAGAAGCGGTTCACCATCGACGCCCAGGCGGACGCCATTGACTTTTTCCAGTGGCTCGTCAACCGTCTACACCTGGAGCTGACGGGGGGCAAGCGGAAGAAGGCGTCCATCATCACAGAATGCCTGCAGGCGAGGGACCTGGGTGTGGGGTCTGCTGCGTGATGTGTCATGGAGCTTGTCGGAGAGGGGAACTGATCCTGAATGCGGGCCACACCAGCTGGCAAGAATCCCCTCGGGTCCCAGTTGCCCTTGCAGCGTATGTTGCTGACGGGAATGGATCGACAGGCGATGGCTGCGAGGCGGCGGCTCCCAAGCCGGACATCAAAATCAGAGCCCCACCCCCCGCACGGCCTGGTCTCCTGCTGAGCAGAGGGCGCGCTGAACCTCTGACACCCCCCCTCCACCCCTGATTTCAGGGCGACTTGGAGGTGACCACACTTGCGGGGACGGGGAAGGCCAAGGGATCCTCGGAGGTGAGCGCCCATGCAGGGGCAAGGAGGTGCGGTGGAGGTGTGCGGCAGGAACCTCTCTCCAACCTGCGCCCATCGAGACGCAGCCTCCCTTGTCCCCGCCTGCAGGATGTCGTGGACAAGGTGTCCTTCCTCATGCTGGGTCTGGACTTGCCGGCTGCCCCGCTGTTCAAGGATGCCCTGGAGACGGTCATCATCCCCCAGGTGAGAACTGGAGGTGGTTGAGCTGCGAACCAAAGGGCGTCGGCTATGTGGCCGGGAGACTGCTGACGAGGTGCTGGCCCTCCACCTACCTCCTCTCGCAGCATCACCTCATCCCCAACCTTCATCCGGCCTGTGCCACCGCAGATACCCATGTACGACCTGCTGAGGAAATACGGGGGGAGCCTGATCGTCGACGACATCAAGGCGGGGCGGCGGAAATTCCGGCTCACCAAGCCTCCGCGCTTCCTCGCGCTACACGTGAAACGCTTCGTGAAGAACCAGTTCTTCCTGGAGAAGAACCCGACCATCGTGAACTTCCCCGTGAAGAACCTGGAGGTTCCCGTGTCTGCGCCTGGTGCGGTGCCCTGTGTGGGATTTATACTGAGGCATTGTGGGCCGGTTCGTGGGTGGTTCTCGGGCAACTGACCCGACCGGACCGGACTGATGCGCTTGTGAGCCCAGCACCCTGAGACACCCACCTACCCCCATTCCCAACCATCAGTGCCTGTCAGGATTGCCACTCTGTCCGCCCAGTCGCCCTCACAGGAAGCGAGGGTCGAAGCATCGTCAAGTATGACCTGTTGGCCAACATAGTGCACGAGGGCAAGGCAGGGGAGGGCTCCGTCAGGGTCCACATCCACAGGAAGGTGGAGAACACCTGGTATGAGGTCCAGGTAGGCAGGGAGGAAAAACTGGTAGGGATGTGTGGTGTGCAGCGTCAGCGTTCTGGAGGGGGATGGCTGAAGCGTCCCTGCAAGTGGGACTGTGGTCATGTACCCATCCCGCCGTCCCTGTCTCTTCCGTTCCCCTTCAGGATTTGAGGGTGACGGATGTGCTGCCTCAGATGGTTGCACTCTCAGAGACGTACATGCAAGTGTACGAGCGGCAGGGTCCATAATTCTTATGTTCTTGTGAACAATAAGACATTCTACTACGTATAGAAGAGATCTAGGGTTGTCCTTTCAAGGACCTGACTATGGCGCGCGCGTCTGCCACAGCAGTGCGGAGGACATGCGCCAGGGCTGGCCTGGGGCTGGTGTTGTAAAGCTGCTGCGGGTCAGTTGCTATTGCGCTGGGTGGTGCAGGGGACCGGGCTCGCCGAGCAACGACGGAAGTGACTGGAGCTGAGGGGGCCTGCCCTCCTGTTGAACGTCCGGCGGCGGCTCCTGATTTCTTCCTTGCATCTATCTCCCTGGGGCGGCAGGGGTTGTGGTGTGGAAAGAGTCAGAGAGCACAACTCCTACCAAGACCCTGCATGCAGGGGAGCAGACCGCAACCTACCATCCAAACACCACTATCTACCTTGATGCTTGTCGAAACTCGGCCAGGAACTTTCCAACGTCTGCAAGGGTGTCACCAACGATGGCTCCCCAGTCCTGCTGTTGAGTTTGACACGCAGCAATGCCTGCAGGTCGTGGTCGATAGTCACCCGACCACTGGGGGTTCCACGCACTCTCTGCAGCCCGTCAAGATCCAGATTCCCGCATCCCAGCTTTCCAGATGTCTCCTGAGCCCATTACATGTCTTATGTCCCGTGAAAGCCTCACCAGGAGCACGACGTGTCGTCCTCATGTACATGGGTCGGGTGCGTGGGCATGCTGGAACCAATTCTCCCGGAGCAGATGAGTGTCTCTGGACAGTGTACATGCTAGATCGAATGCAGAGAGGGTTTTTTTTATGTAAAGAAATCCCTGCAAGGTGCTCACAGCAGTGAGAAATAGTGATGAACCAATGTGAGATTCGCGCATTTCCGGAGAGAGGGAGAGTGCTGACGTAGGGGTTGTTAAAATTTTAACCAGGCTTTACCAAAGTAGCGAGTCGGGTGCCGCTCAAAGTATCCACCCAATCTCCGTCCGCTCACAAATGTCCATGCATGCCTGCATCATGCTCTCCTGCTCACTCGCACTTCCCCTGCTGGACCATCCATGCCGACCCCAGCGCCAACAGGGCGCCACAGGCCAGCGAGGCGACCAGGCGCAGCACGCGCTCGCGCTGGGAGTGCTCAGAGGCCAGGGCCTGCAGCTTCCGTGCAGCTTCCGCCTCGGCCGCCTCAGCGGCGCGCCCCGCGCGCTGGGCCTCGACCCGGCTGGCACGCAGGGCGGCCTCCAGCTCGATGCGCCGCGCCGCCTCCGCCTCGGCCCGGCGCTCCCCGGCCTGCTCGCGCCGCCTGGCCCTTTCGACCTCCGCAGTCGCCTGCGCCGTCGAAGAAGAGCGCAGCGCCTTCTCCGCCTTGAGCGCGTTCAGCTCCACCGCCAGCGCCTCAGCCTTGGCGCGGGCGGCGGAGAAGGTGGCGCTCAGCTCCGCATGCTGGCGCTTGGTGCGGGCCGCGCCCGCCAGCTCCCGCTCCGCCTGCTGCAGCCTGAGCCCCGACTCGGCGGAAGCCCGCCGCGCCTATTGGATGGTGGGCAGGGAGTATGGTGGGGGAGGTGGGGCCGGGCGGCTTAGGCGAGTGCACAGACACTCGGCCGTGACTCAGACGGTCAACACTCAGTCCCTTCATCGGCACACGGCTTGCAGCCCCCCTCCACCCACCCTCCCAAAACACCCACCCCCACTGGCGCCTCACCGTCTCCAGCTGCTTGGCCAGCTCGACCGCCCTCTCGTCGCCCAGACGCTGAGTTAGCGAGGTGGCCTCGCGCTGCAGCGCCAGGGCCTCGGTCACATGGGTCAGCAGCGCCCGCTGCTCCTCCACCTGCCGGCTCGAAACCGCCAGCTGCAAATTGTGTGCGCGTGTGTGTAAGGGCTTGAGTCGGCGCATGCTACCAAGGCGCTCCAGGTCCCTAGCACAGGGCCATCGCATGCAGCACCAAGAACAAGCTGTCGTCCCATCGATTTGTTTCTTCAGCAAGCATGGTGGGCCCGCCACCTTGAAGTCTACACCCAAGGCCATCCACCAAACCCATCACATCTCCTCAAACCCCAAACCCTGCCGCCCTTTCCACCCACCTCGTGCTCCAGGCGCGCGACCTCGGCGGAGCTCTCAGCCGCGGCGCGGCGAGCGGCCTGGGCGCTCGCAAGCTCCTGCCTGGCTTGCTCCGTGCCCTCCTGCGCCGCCTCCCCCTGGCGCATCTGGTCTGCCAGCTGCTCCTCCAGCTCAGCGATCCGGGCCTGCCGGCGGGAGCAGAGAAAACGGGGTGGGCGCTGGGTTGGCTTCTTCCCCCACAAAACACTCTGAGCCTGCCCAGGTCTGCTACGACTCCTTGGGAGTGACAGGGTGCAAGGGAGAGCGGCATGCAGAAATAGATCGCACAGGCAGGATCTTCGAGGGGGGGGGGGGGGGGGCGCCTCCTCTCAGCTGCTCCAGGTGAACAGCTTGCGCACAAAGGACAGCGCCCCCAGCAGGCAGGTCATGAGCAGGTTTGGGAGCAGGACCGGCGCCGCCGGGCTTGCCTGCAGGGGGGCCACGGCGGCGGTGTTTGGCGAGCGCGGCGCGCTGTCGCCCATGGCGCCGGCCCGCGCCGCCGAGAGCGAGGCGGCCTCCAATCGCGCTGCGGCGAGCGCAGCCTCCAGGGTCTGGGTGTTGGGTTTGGTGGGGTGGCGATGCCCAGTGCATGGAGACGGGTGCAGCAGGCGCAGACGCACAGGGGGACGTTTCGTGTCGCCACTCTCTGCACCCTCCTCTAGCAGACACCATCGACAGCTCAAAAGAAGCCCCCCCTCACCTCCATTTGGGTCTTGGCCACAGCGGCGTTCTCGCTGTCGGCCGCCACCCTGGCGCGCAGCGCTGCCAGCTCCTCTGCCAGGCTCCTATGGTGAGGTTCGTGGGGATGGTGATGTGTGGGTGTTTGTTGGTCTGGGGCCTCATTGGGAGGGATTCGACAGTAAGCAAAGTGCCAGCGTCCATGGCACCTTGCCAGCTCTGGGACTGCAAAGCTCGAGGAAGGTCGCTGACTTGGCAGCCATCATTGCGGTCGGGCACCATCCTCCTCCTCCGTCACCGAATTCCAACCCTCAGCCGCCCTCACCCAGATTCGGCCTGGGCGGCGGCCTGGGCGGCGGCCAGCTCGGCGCGGGTAGCCTCCAGCTCGGCGGCCAGCGCCGCCGAGCGCTCGCCAGCGGCGGCGACCGCGGCCTCGTGCGCTGCCAGCTCGCTCTGCAGCTCGGCGATGCGACGCATGGACAGGGAGGCCACCTGCTTGGCGGCCTCGCCCTTGGGCGTGGGGGCGCCCTGTGGGTGGGTGGGTGGTGGGGAAGGGGCGTCATGCGTGGGCATCAGGGATGCACAGGCCCCGGGTGCCTAGGTCGCTGGTGGCACCTGGGTCGCGCGACAGGGCACTCGTTCCTTCCGCATGCCTGCGCTCATGGGCCGTCGTCGCCTGCCAGACCAGCCCTCATCTGAGCCCAGACTTCTTCCAGATGCACCCCGACAGCCTTCCCTCCTTGATTCATCCCCCTCCCCCGACCTCTCATTCACCCACTCACCCGCGCCTCCTCCACCTCGGCCTCCTTGGCTGCCAGGCGCTCCAGTGCGGCCTGCAGGTCGCGCTCCAGCCCCGCGCGCTCCAGCTCGGCGGCGTCGCGGTCCGACCGTGCTGCGCATAGCTGCGCCACCCACTCCGTCTCGCTCCCCTGCAGGTTTGCGTGGGAGAACGAGAGGGTCAGGGTCGTCACGGCTGAAGCGGAGCACCGCCCCAAGCTCTCGGACTCCTCGGCGTCATTCCTCGTTGCGACAGTGAGGACTCGGCATTTGGCCGCAGAGCTCAACCTCCTCTACCCCACTCCAACACCCCTCCCGGACCCCCCCCCCCACCCACCACACACACACC